CCCTCTCTCTCTCTCTTCCCCCCCCTGCAGCAGAGGCGCAGCCAAGGAGCTTTACTCCACCCCTCTCCCTCGCCGTCCTCCTCTTCCATCCCTATACACAGAGGCCTCATTCGGCTCTCGTTTCGCTAACCCAGATGTGTTTCCAATGGTCCTCCTCCCGCTCCTCCTCCTCTTCCTTCTTTCTGCTCCTCCTCCTCCCCCTCCTCCTCCTCTTGCTCTTAGTTCTTACTCCTCCTCCTCTTCTTTTCCCTCTCATCCTCTTTCGCCGCCGCCGCCGCCGCCTCCTCCTCCTTAACCCTTCTTCCTTTTCTTCTCTTCCTCCTCTTCCTCCTCTTCTTCCTCCTCTTCCCTCTCCTGCTGCTGCTCCTACTCCTCCCCCTTCCTCACCCTCCCTCCTTCCTCCTCTTCTTTTTCCTCTTATCCTCGTTCGCCTCCTCCTGAACCCTTGTTCCTTTTCTTCTCTTCCTCCTCCTCCTCCTCCTCTTCCTCCTCTTTCGCCTCTTTTTCCTCTTCCTCCTTTTTCTCCTTCTGCTGCTGCTCCTCCCCCTCCCCCCTCCTCTCCCTCCTCCTCCTCTCCTCCTCCCTCTTGCTCTTCCTCCTTGGTCTCCCCTCCCTCCTCCACCTCCGTTTCCTCCTCTCTCTCCTCCCCTCACTCTTCCTCTTCCTCCTCTCCCTCCCCTCAGCCTCTTATCACTCTGCTGATGGCTCGCCATTGTCCTCACCATACTTGTCACCCTGTCTCGCCCCTCTTCCCCCACATACATTCTCCCTCCTCTCCCTCCTCTCCCTCCTCTCCCTCCTGCCCCCTCCTCCCTGCTCCCCCCTCCCCGCTCCTCTTCTCTTTCTATGTTTTTGGTCTCCGAAATCATGATGTGGATTTCCTGTCCCAACCAGGCCCAAACGGTCCCAACCAGGCCCAGGCGGTCCCAACCAGGCCTAGGCGGTCCCAACCAGGCCCACACGTGTCTCAGTTGATCGGCTTGACTGTTGTTTTTCGGTTACTTCCATCTCTCTCTCTCTCTCTCTCTCTCTCTCTGTCTCTCTCTCTCTCTCTCTCTCTCTCTCTCTTTCTCTCTCTCTTACTCTGTCCATGCATGCATCCCCATATGCACTTCAAACTTTAAAGGGCATACTCAGAGTAGGGATTTCCTGGATGAATTGAAGCGTAAATCCAGCCAGATTCAAGTTAAGAAAGTCCCAGAGTGAGGTATGGCTCATCTCAGGAGGTAGCAACTCGCTGCACTCTCCACTCCACAGCTGCATTTCCTTCTTTTTTTTTTTTTTTTTTTTTTGTAATTTTATTTATTATTATAATTTTTTGAATGGGCGTAGCTCCTGTCCTTTTTTTTTTTTTAATTATTATTGTATTATTATATATCCATTTCCTGATTCCATCAGGATTCGAATGCACGATCTGTTTCGTCGAAATTTGGGTACATGCGTCTCTGCCATTCACAGCTCAGCCGCTTTCCCTCGAATAGAACGTATCCAGTCATTCTCGCAGTATCTGGGCGCAAAGTTGGCCCAGATACATCCTTAAAAAAAAAGAAAAAAGAATAAGGACTGTGTGCGCATTCTATTCGGCGGGAAGACTGGTTGTCAAATGTGTCATGTGTCTACTACCGTCTTCACCCGAATAGAACGCCCGGTCATTATAGCCGTATGGCTGCTGCATGCATCTGGTCTGAAAGTTGGCCCAAATACACACATACAGCTATAAAGACCGGGCGTTCTATTCGGGTGAAGACGCTAGGCACAGCTTAACGAACCCTAAACCAGCCAGCAGCTATGGCTCCTCCCACCCCATTTCACCAGCTGTATGTGGTACAACTTTCAGTCCAGATACAGCCAGAAACAGCTTAACCCTAAACCAGCTATGGCTCCTCCCACCCCATTTCACCAGCTGTATGTGGTACTACTTTCAGTCCAGATACAGCCAGAAACAGCTTAACCCTAAACCAGCTATGGCGACTCCCACCCCATTTCACCAGCTGTATGTGGAACAACTTTCAGTCCAGATACAGCCAGAATGACCGTGCCTAGCTTCTGTTCTATTCGGGAGAACACGAACACGGCTGGTTCAGGATTCGAATTTTTTTTTTTTTTTTTAGGACCTATTCATGCACCAGCCGTGTTCTCCGGAATAGGACAGAAGCTTCGCACGGTCATTCTGGATGTATCTGGACTGAAAGTTGTTCCACACACAGCTATTAAGACCATGCGTTCTATTCAGGGGAACACGGGAACACGGTTATTTACACGTGGCATCTACCAGTCACAGCCGCTTGGACTGAAAAGTCGTCCCAATCCATTTCACTTCTTTTTCCCATCTTGGATTCCATCACCAGGATTCGAACTCAGGATCTCTTCATCAATAGCAGTCTTCCCCCGAATAGAACGCAAGGTCATTATCGCTGCTGTATGTGGACTGAAAATTGCCCAAAGTACGTTACATCTATAAGAACCATGCCGTTCTATTCGCGGAAAGTTTAGCAGTTCGATGTGTCATCTACTACTGAAGAAGTCAGCTGCATGGGCTGCACCATCCCAACCCATTTTTAATCCAATCCACTTGTCTTAATCCCATTGTCAACTGCACTCCCCACTCCACTCCACTCCACTCCACTCCACTCCACTCCACTCCACTCCACTCATTCCATCAAATTCCATCAGATCCCATCAGATTCCATCAGATTCCAACAGATTCCATCAGATTCCACCAGGATTTGAACTCAGGATCTATTTTTTCATATGAACAGCTACTGGTAGTTACATGCGTGCACCATTCAGCTCAGCCCTGCGGCCCGTACTACAGTGCACGAGAGAGAGAGAGAGAGAGAGAGAGAGAGAGAGTCCGCACCGACGCATGCATTATCGGATCAGTGTGTGTGTGTGTGTGTGTGTGTGTGTGTGTGTGTGAGAGAGAGAGAGAGAGAGAGAGAGAGAGAGAGAGAGAGAGAGCACCGACGCATTTATTATTGGATAAGTAAGAGCGAGAGCGAGAGAGAGAGAGAGAGAGAGAGAGAGAGAGAGAGAGAGAGAGAGAGAGATGAGTTCTCGGTCCTCCCACTCTATTTGCATAGGCACCGGGCACTGCATGCGGTGCAGTGCACCAGAAAAATCGGGGAAGAAAAAAGGAAGTGATGTGGAAAACGTTGTTCTTAAGCAACTTCTGGTGGAGACACTTTTCCTCAAGACTTGTATTCTTTCTTTGAATGTTTTAAAAATCGATATGATATTTTTCTTCTTTTGTGCGCCTCATCTAGTCCTTTGGCTCAGTCGCAAGTTTTTTTTTTTTTTTTTTTTTTTTGCCATCTCTTAGTCAGCCAGGGTTCGAACACAGGATCTGTTCGTGGACAGTTATTATTATATTATTATTATTTTTATCGACAAAATTCACAAAAGCATATTAGGGCCCAGTGCCATGTGTTTGGAATCCTTTTGCATCGGGCTGAGTCCTCCCCCTCCATTATGCTCCTCTCCACAACAAATATAAATAAATAAACAAATAATAAATAAATAAACAAATAATAATAAAAAATTAATAAAAATTTAAAATTTTAAAAATAATAAATAAGTAAATAAATAAATAAATCATTGAACTGTACTCAACTCCACTACACCCGGCTGGCAGCACTCTGTTTCTCAAATCTTCTAAGGGCATACTCACAGTCGGACTTAACTGGATGTATCTGGCAGCAAAATACGACGAGATGCAGTCGTCAGTTTACTAGTGGGTGCATAAGCCCTACAGTAGTCAACTTTTAACTAATCGCTCAACCCTATCTGGCCTCGAAATGAATCTGAACTCCTTCACAGTCAGATTCAGTCGAAAAAATTGTACTTTTTGTGTGAGTTTCGCCCTACTCTACTCTCTACTCCTCATCTCGGACTTTTGAACCCTAAACTCCTCTCAACCCTCTCGTTACCTTAACCTATCCCTAACCCTAACCCTAACCCTAACCCTAACTCTCTCACAGGTGTCTCACTTCACCTCTCTCTCTCAGCTCAGCTCTCATCTCCACTCTCAGCTCAGCCCTCAGTTCAACACAGAGTTGACCTGTGAATCACACCCAACTTTTGTCCCATCTCTTGTCCCATCTCTTGTCCCAACTTTTGTCCCAACTTTTGTCCCAACTCTTGTCCCAACTTTTGTCCCAACTTTCACTTAACTCTCAGTTCAAGTCAGAGTTGGACTGTGAACTCACACCTCTCAGCTGACTGAAGTGTTAACTTAACTCTCAGGTCAACTCAGAGAAGAGATGAAATGTGAAATGTGATCTCACACCTGTCCATTTTGAAGTCTCATGTCAATGCAGCAGCTGCCAGATAAATTCCCTCTAAACTCGTCTCTCTAAGTTCTTCACTCAGCGTGTGGCCAAACTGTTAACTCAGCCCTTAACTCTGAACTCGACTCTACTGTCTTCACCACCCCCGAATAGAACGCCCGGTCATTTTGTCTGTATTTGGCACAACTTTCGGTCCAGATGCAGCGATAATGACTGGGCGTTCTATTCGGGGGCGAAGACGGTAGTGAATTCAATTCACTTTGAATCAAAACTCGACAGCAACTCGCTTAGCTTGGCTCGACTTTACTCCACTCCACTCCACTCCACTCCACTCCACTAAACTCCACTCCGCTCCGCTCCACTCCACTCCACTCCACTACACTACACGGCTCCACTTTTCATTCCATTCGACTCGACATCGTGAGGACCAGATGCATTCAAAATCTTGGACTCGTCCAAATGCATGTGGCCCAGAAACCGTCCAAATGCATGTAGAGTGTTGTGTTTGTGTAGTGGAGCGAGGCCCTATTATGACTTTACTGAACTCCACTCCACTTTCTCCACTCCACTGAGTTCTCTGTCTCTCTCTGTGCTCCTCTCTCTCTTTTTTTTATCATTATATATATATATTTTAATTAAAAAATACCCCGTATTTTTTTCTCATTATACCTCCCACTACCTTCCTATCTACCTGCGTCTAGTCCAGCTTCTTTCGCTTAAGCCGCCAGCACCTTTCCCGTATGTCGACCGCGGGTAGAAAAGAAAAAATGAAGCCTGAAACGGAAGACGGGCCCAGCCGATTCAATTTATCTACCGTGGCTCGATCCCACTTGGCTTCTGCATTACCCGGCAAGGAATCGATTTCCAAACGGGGAAAAGGGTACTGGTGGCTTAAGAGAAGTTGTACAGTAATCCACATCCATGCACTGAACCTGGGCCTATCCCCTTTTGGGTTGATTCTCGACTCTGCTCTTTGCGGGGGGCAGTACCCCGGCTCCCAACGCCTGGCGCGTAATTCTCTTATACCCCCTCCCCCACTTCCTCTCTCTCTCTCTCTCTCCCTGGAGGAGCACATTCCAGTCCTCTCCTACTCCACACCAATGGGCCTGCCGGTAGCTCAGTTGGTACAGCCATGAGCTCTTGCAAGTGCAGACCTGAGACCTGAGTTCGAATCCAGACGGATTTCAGTCCTCTCCTACTCCACACCAATGGGCCTGCCTGTAGCTAAGTTGGTAGAGCCATGAGCTCTTGAAGTGCAGACCTGAGACCTGAGTTCGAATCCAGATGGAACAAGGTGAAGGGAAGCGAAAAACGGAAAAAAAAAACAAAAGGAAGCGCAGGCACAAAATACGACTGCCTGTGTATCGTTTCATTGTGCTCTGCATGAGGATTGCTTTTTGTGTTTTTTTTTTCTTCTTTTTTTTGAATGACACGAATGCCCCACCGTCTTCGCCCGAATAGAACGCCCGCTCAGTATTGCTGCATCTGGACTGAAAGTTGCTCCACATACGGCTGTAATGACCAGGCGTTCTATTCGGGTGAAGACGGTAGGGACTGTCGAAGGGCAAGATGTCCCTGTCCTCCTGAATGGGCCGCGCTGGATCCCACAACTCCATAACTGTACGGAACTGGAAAATTGTCTGGATACATTCAAAATCTCGAATTTCTTGTTAGCGAATTGAGTCCCTATGTCTTTGGGCCGCGCCGCACCCTTTTGGTGTTTTTATTGACAGGTGGTGGATCATGAGTCTCCTCCTACTTTTTCTAATCACCTCACCGTTCTCTTTCTTCCATTTCTGTCTTATGACTTGTGTGTTTTGGGAATCAATTCAATCAGATATGAAGAGTACATTTTGGCGGCAGTGTCCGCGTTGAAAGAGAAGAACGGGTCCAGTAATTCGGCGATTGCGAAGTACATTGAGGTGGGTTCTCTCTCTTTGTCTTTTTTTTTTTTTTTTTTTTTTAATGTTTTTTTGAGGTGGGTTCGATGCAAAGGCAAGTTGCAGGTGGAGGGCGCACAAACTAGAATTTTACTGGACGTATGTGACTGAAGGGATGACCAGATTCAGCCCAGGGAGTTATGGTCTGAGCACGTGCTGAGAAACCTTTCTTGCCTGAACATGTTTTGCATCTGTTATTTTCTGGATTTATCTTTGCATCTTCTCCCCCTCCTTCCCCCCCCCCCTCCCCTCCCCTTCCCTTGCATGCTTTCTCATCTGTTGTGCCATGGACCAGGAACCCTGTTACTGCGTTGTGACTGTAAAGCCACCAGCTGCCCAGGGGATCTCTTTTGACATCTCGAAGTCGCGGCTGTAGGGGTGCTTTGTATCAGCAGAAAAGCTGGTGGAAATAAAACCGTTAACGAAAGTGAAAAAAAACAAAACACACACACGTACACACACACACACACACACACACACACACACACACACACACACACACACAGAGGGAGAGAGAGGGAGAGGGAGGACACTTAGAATGTTTGTCAGACAAAATAGAACGAGAGAGAGACACTGGTGGGAGAGGTGGTGGGAAAACAGTGTGAAGCAGCCATGGTCTCTTATCATATGATCACGGCACGGCAGCTGGTTGATTCCTCCCCCTCATGCCTCACCGCCTCTCTTTCTTTCGGCCATGCTTAATGGGCGTTCTGGCATTTTGAACTGCTGGCGTGTGTGTGTGTGTGTGTGTGTGTGTGTGTGTGTGTGTGTGTGTGTGTGTGTGTGTGCGTGTGTGTTTGTGTGTTGTCTTCTTCGCTATACACAAATCCACAAGAAAAGCATGTGTGTGTGTGTGTGTGTGTGTGTGTGCGTGTGCGTGCGTGCGTGTGTGTTTGTGTGTTGTCTTCTTCGCTATACACAAATCCACAAGAAAAGCATCACTCTTACAGACCGTTTCCTTGGACTTTCACCAAGTCGTCAGAAGGTTGAATATGTGTGTGTGTGTGTGTGTGTGTGTGTGTGTGTGTGTGTGTGTGTGTGTGTGTGTGTGTCTTTCTACCTCGTTGCTGTACCATGATAAAGTGGATGCGTCTACCAGTGCACTCCTCCTGTATACGAAGTTGATATTCAAAACATGAAAGCAAACGAGAGAGAGAGAGAGAGAGAGAGAGAGAGAGAGAGAGAGAGAGAGAGAGAGAGAGAGAGAGAGAGAGAGAGAGAGAGATAGAGAAGACAAACAGACTCGCAGCCACACACAGAGAGAGAGAGAGAGAGAGAGAGAGAGAGAGAGAGA